AAAAAGGGGTGGGGGGGGGGGGGGGGTGGGAAAACCCACAAAGGGAAAAAAATTTTTTTTTTTTTATTATTTATCATTTATGACCCCCCCCCCCCCCCCCCCCCCCCCCCCCCCCCCCCCCCCCCCCCCCCCCCCCCCCCCCCCCCCCCCCCCCCCCCCCCCCCCCCCCCCCCCCCCCCCCCCCCCCCCCCCCCCCCCCCCCCCCCCCCCCCCCCCCCCCCCCCCCCCCCCCCCCCCCCCCCCCCCCCCCCCACACCAACTTTCATACAATATATTTTCTATAGCGTTAACCAACCACAAATAAAAATCAGATCTACGACAAAGTTAATAACATTGTTTTGAGTAGTGATGGTACGTTTTTTATTCTGTGTACAAATAATATAATACATATAAAATTCTCGTGTCACAATGTTCGTTCCCATACTCCTCCGGAACGGCTTGACCGATTCTTATGAAATTTTGTATGCATGTTCTGGAAGTCTTAGAATCGGACAACATCTATTTTTCATCCACCTAAATGTTAAGGGTAGTCCACCCCTAAATTATTTTTTTTAATTTTTAGATAAATTACTTATTTTTTATTTTTTTATGATACAGCATAAAAAAATACATACAACCCCTAACTTTCACCCCTCTACAATCAACCCCTATTTTTTATTATAAATGATATACATGGCAAAATGACGTTTGCCGGATCAGCTAGTAATAATAATGGAGATAGAGTTCCGGGAGTTAGGAGTTTTTTATTTGAAATTTCTTAAATATTAATAGTTTATTAAATATTGGCAAAAAACGAAATGCCATTTTTTTTCATCTTTAATTGTTTATAACTTTTGCAATTTTTATGTGCTAATACACGCTTTTGGCACATTTTTCTAGACGTCATTCCGGATGCAATGAGCTATCGCACATTTTAAGAGCAGTATCTCTATTTTGTACCATTTTCAACTTATCGACTAGACTAGTATCTTTATAGAATCCTTTTCTTAATTAAAATATTACAATACTAGGTAAGGCATATACTGCATGTGCCAATGGACTTTGTATCCGGCTAATAAATAAATTAAAAAAAAAAAAACATATACTGCATACAGATGCAATTTACTTTGATTTACATTAATTATTTTTATTTGAAAGAAACGGGTCTGGTATCTCTCTACAATTTATGGAGGCATAAAATGTAACAAAACATCTTATTGCTTTTAATTCTGAAAATAAACAAATGAACAATATGTTGCCATAGACTTAACACTGAATATTATCTTATGTTAAATAAGTTTGAATGGAATGTTAACAAACATGTGCCACAGTTATTTGTCTTCATCTTAATCAATCAAAAAGTTTGTCTTGATCTTAATCAATCAAAAAGTTTGTATGTTTTAAATAGAAGTGCCGTTATTTCTACTAAATAATCCTGAAAATACGGCACGCTATAGACTAACTTACCTGGTATCTATTAAGTATCTTGGAGACACAGCCATGTGAGACACGAAGCTGTCGTGAGATGACACAAGGCCGCACTCCCGCAGCCGCCATCTCCACAATCTTCAGTCTGATGTGGTTCGGTAGAGGGCGCCCGTTGATAAATAAGCCTCCTAATTGATTTACTCTGCCTTGACCTGTGTAATAAATTAATATTATTTAATCCGATGAGGCAGTTAAAAATCACGTGTGGTAGGTTCGAGGGTCTAAGTCTGGGCAGTATAATAATTTTGGTATAAAAGTTATTTTTATTAATTTTAGACAGTACAGAATGGCGATATTGCCGTATAAATTATTAGTGAATTAGATGCTGAATTGTCATATACATTCTCTCTCCCTTTACATCAAACTCATTTAATGATGAACAAGAACCAAATCATAAACCGTATACAGAATTTATTAACTGATAATGAGTACTTTAGCCGTTTTAATAAGTTGACAATAGAATCAGAACATCTGTCTTTTCCTTTGTGTTAAATTTTGTAGCGGGGTCGCATACCTATTATTAACAAGATTATATATTGAAAGATGATAAAGATGTGATAATCTAGATGCACGATAAGGTGTAATAAATAGTTTATATCATTAAAATAAATACGCTTAAATACGAATTTTGGACTTAAAAGCTCATAAACATAATGCGTCATTGTCTAAGATCGCTATTAATTGCCCTAAGTTTTCGTATGTCAAATATATTACATTTACATACTACACCTACTGTTAAGTCTCGATCAACACTTTTATATTTAAAGTAAAGTTTTTATTCGACTCTTCCTTAATCGTATATAAGATGACAAAATACGTATTTAGTGAAATTGTAATAACTGATTTAGTTTCATTAATAATAATACAACACTAAAACAGCTTTAAGAATATTAAACGATTATGAAATTGATTTAATCTTTGGAACTGTCAACGTTTACGAATAATATATTGTATTCCATTTTTGAATTTTGATATAGAAATGAAATGTACCCTTACCTACCCACACATCCATCCCGTTTTGGTGTCTTTCCATATTTATCATTGATTCAAAAATCACAGAATCCACAACACCAGATTTAATCACGATAATATATCACATTTAACACCTGTTATATTAAAATGACATGTTTAATCATAATTTTCGTTTGTCGGACTGTTATCAAATCTATAAGGCGATGTCTTTTTTTAATAAAAGATTTTTTTCTGCGCGTGAGTGCAGCGGAGGAGGTTGTGTAGAACTGAGAGTACCGGTGTGTTCGTAGGAATAGGCGGGTCGTTGTGTGAGTGAGCTGAGGCTTTCGGTTTGATTGTGTGAGTGAGTGCATGAAACACTCCTACCTCTACAAAAGTAGTTGCTCCACGATTAAGGCTTGAAAGGTGAATAGAATTTTAAATTTTAAATAAAAAAAGGGAAAAAAAAAAAAAAAAAAAAAAAAAAAAAGGAAGGGGAAAAAGGGGGAAAAAAAAAAAAAAAAAAAAAAAAAAAAAAAAAAAAAAAAAAAAAAAAAAAAAAAAAAAAAAAAAAAAAAAAAAAAAAAAAAAAAAAAAAAAAAAAAAAAAAAAAAAAAAAAAAAAAAAAAAAAAAAAAAAAAAAAAAAAAAAAAAAAAAAAAAAAAAAAAAAAAAAAAAAAAAAAAAAAAAAAAAAAAAAAAAAAAAAAAAAAAAAAAAAAAAAAAAAAAAAAAAAAAAAAAAAAAAGGGAAGAAAAAAGGAAGAGAAGGAAGGAGCCCAAAGTTGATTACTTGCATTTAGGCAATTGTTTAAAGTAACAATTTTTGTATTTTGTGAATCTTGTTTTTCAAGTTAGTTTTTTTAAGTACACTGTCAGACTACTATATGGAAAAATGCACTATTTTATATTTATTTATGCTCTCTAATATGTTGAAACGAGGAAAATCAAACAGTCATGAAACATACACCTGTACGTGAACTACTTGAGAACTAGCGCAGCAATAACCACAATTTCTATGATATTAATATATCTACCACTTGGTATATAATATATACCCACACTAATTGACTTGTCTTAACTCATCAAAATATATCCTCCTAGAGATTTTAAAAATCGACTGAGTGTACTTTATTAATTAATATTAATTTGATAACGTAATAATATATTTTAATAATGCGATAAAATAAAATAAGTATTGACTTTAATTATATGATTCATAATTTATGTAAAATTCCTTTTAAGATAAAATTTGCACACCATTATGTGTGGCAGAATATGCAAACTTTGGATTGTACCACCATAACATTATCTACCGTATTCTTGCAAATAAATGATTATTATTACTAATTGTTTTTATTCAAAGTCATTTAAACGTTAAATTTCTTTTGATAACAAATTTGAAAGATTTGAATTGTTTAAGTTGTTAAATTGAAAATTATTGAATATTAATTAATTGAATCACAATTAAAGCTACAATACATATACAACATACATATTTAAAACTAAGTGTGTTAACTGTCAAATAGAATGCAAGTTCATAACATATGTTACATAATATGTCATTACATACAATTCTCATATATTACTTAAATCAGATAAACGTTTAGTCGCCCTATTGTCGAACGAAAACAGTCGCAAGCGCATTGGAGGGGAACTCGTTCGGCCCATAACGATAACTGAGAGACATATAGCGGTCTCTTTCTGATATACTAAATATTAGAACGTGCTAAAATCCTTGTTACCTAGGTGTGAACTTACGTTTATAGGAAACACTACAAAAATTCAGCACAAGAATGAAACTAAGAAGAACCGTTTAGTTAACTCACACCCGGATATCCTGGGTTCTATTCCCGGTAACAATCTTACTAGAAAAAAATCTATGAATCAGATATTACAATTATATCTGCCCAGTGTCGTATTTACCAATTACGTCTAACAAAAAAGTTTTCTAAATAATTAAAAGTGTATTATTTTAATCCCATATTATGTTCAATAGTTATTGGAGTTATTATTGAGCTTAAGAGCTTGTAATGAGTAAATAAAAAGATTATCTATGAATAATAATTATAGTTATTTATTTTAGACCATTGATACATATTTTATTAGTAATCGCATCTAGGACTAACCAAGAGCTGATGAACGGTGTCACCGTAATCGGAGTTAGCACGGATGAACTTGGCTCTACCATATACCTTTGATATAAAAAGTCCCTTCTCTGCTAGCATGCAAAAACCTGGCGCTACAACCTGTTAAGGTCTGGGACTCAGATTTCTGTATCTGTTTTCTGATCATTTGTTTTTTCTAATAGGTATAGTGATCAGCCTTCTGCGGCACTTGGGACTTTTTGGGTCTAAGGTATGTCGGTTTCCTCACGGTATTTTCTTTCACCGCACGAGAGAGTGTTAAATTGTGCACATAGACAGTCTAGTGCACAGGTTGATTCAAACCTACGACGTCAGGGATGAGAGTCGCTCGCTGAAGCCTCTGGGCCAACACAGCTGCTTAAGCAATTAACAGCACAAATTATAAGTAACTTGATAAAAAGTATCCTCTTGATATCAGACGAGCTCAGTCTTTTTATTTAAGAAACTTCTTTCTGAGCCTCGCATATAGCTACTTATGTAAATTAATTATGATTCACTAAACCAGTGTTACCCAACCTTTTTGTCCCATGCCCAACCTTAACCATTCTAAAAAACATACATAATTTGAATGTCAAGAAAATTGTTAACGAAACACCGTAAGTAAATTTTCAAAACTTACTTCCTACATCATTTTTCGAATAGCCCCCCTTTACAATCAAATTGCCCCCCTGTGGGGCGTGGGCCTCACGTTAGGAAACACTGCACTAACCTTAAGATTATCGTTTACTTTAGTTTAGTATTGTAGGTATAATTCTAGTGTTAGTAGTGTCAGTAGGTATTTTTTTATTATTTTTTCCATCTAGGGTTGCCTGGAAGAAATATTATAATAGCTTATTGGCGATAAGGCCGCCCATAGCCTAATAACTTATATAAATTTTTTAAATTTGTATGTACTAACGTCTCTCAAACGTATGGAAAAATAATAATAGTATGTATTAAAATCTGGGAATGTTTAAACACGATTTTGTTTGTTATTTTTGCTACTTCAAACTTGCTATCTATGTTTAAATGCAGGACAATCGGATGCCTACTAGTAACTTAATACTTTTTTATATGTAAGTTTAATATTAGAAGTGTAAAAAATGAAATAATAACATTATCAAAATAGGCAGCACGTATTTTGTTTGTTATTTTGCTCTCAAACATCACACGTCCAATGAAGAAATTCCTACGAAAATTTGTATAGAAATAGCCCGCAACATTACATGAGCACTTAAAAGCGCAGCGCTAACCAGATCCATGGAACTTCCTTATAATCCAGTAGCCCGCATAGCATGGTTCACACAAGCCACGAGGGACTGTTTTATGTACCTGTGAACGTAGTATGGTTCTGTAACCAAGACTTACCGCAGGGACTGTTTATGTACCTGTAGAGGAACCCTTTGATAGCGAATTAAGGGATGAACCTTTGTAGGTGTCGCTACAAATTAAAATATTAAGTTCTCTTTTGGAATATCAGTCGGCTGCTTTGTAGTTTCAGTTCTGTTTGTTTGTTTTTGTTATTTGATTTTTAAATTCTTTTTTAAATTATTTGTTTTATTTTAATTGTTAAAATTTTCGTTTTGTATCAGTGTCATAGCTGTCACTCCAAGATAGGTATGGGTCCAATGAAAATCAATGTTGCTGGTGACAAAAACTTAAAGCTAAGTTGGGCTCATTTTTGATTAAAGTGATTGTGTTTTTTTATATTATGTATGTTAATCGAATAAGGGATTTTTATTTCTTTCAAATACTGATTTGACCTAAGCATTCAATGGCGCTTAATCTATACTTTTTTTTATAGATGAGGTCAATATTTTATTCTAAGGCCAGGTTCACACGGCATTGATTGCACGTTTTTTTGTATTCGTTTTATTAAAGTACAATCTAATAATAGTACAATCTAATAATAATAAATTAAATAGTGTTAAAACTAACAATTTGTAAAAAATGCCTACTGCAAAGTGAATACGTTAAAGTTTATTAGATTTGCGTGGTACGTCCGGCGACTATTCATTTAAACGTAAGAACCTGGCCTTAGGGTTCAAAGTCGAGACGTCAAAAACGTATTAGGTTTGACATATTTCGAGGTCTCGACTCTGAAAAGAAGAAAACATTACCAAGGAGACAGAAATCTGGGCTAAAAACCAAGTTAGCGCCACTAACTCTCTCATCGTCAAAGTTCAAATAATTTCGGGCATTTCAAGTTCAACCGCGATGAGGTGAATTGTAATTTAAACGCTGGATGGACGATTAACGATGGAAAATCGACTCTAACCAAATTAATTATTCCAAATAGAATTTGCGAGTTAAATAGCCAATTTTCTCGGCACAATAATCTATAGCTGTACTTTTAACCGTTTTTTGCGTTTAGATGGAACATTTTCTCACGGTTTTCGAAGTCTAGCTTTCCTTTTTGGTAAATAGGGTTTATGTTAATTTTCTAGATTAAACGGTTCAGTTATTTCATATTGTTTACATTTAGGTACGCTTAAAAGATTTTGATTATAAGATTTTTATATTAATCGCATCGTTGGTTGTAGGTTTAAAACCCGGGTTTACTGACATCAGATGTCCTGAAGATGATACTCGTAAATAGAGAGCATCGGGGAAGTACCTTTCAAACAAAAGAGTCATCATAATTAGTCCAAGTATTGAGGACATAATTAAAAGATTATAAAGAATTTCGTACCTCCTATTGAAGTTACTTAATTAAACCCTTTTTTTAAAGATAACATTAACAGTCGAGACTTATAGCGAGCAAAATATGTCAAAAACGTTTACTGAATTGGTCATAATTTACGCTTAGCCTCGACTCTTATTAAGATAAGGATAAACCCGTATTTCAAAACAAAAGACAATCTTGTCCCAAGTACTGGAGAAACATCAAAATTTATGGAGAAAAATACTTGGACAAACCATGAGACGAAACTGATAAATCGTCAAAAATCTTTCAACT